GCGCTTGAGGACCATCCAAGCCCAGTGGGCCCAGGAGGCTGATGGCTCTGCTTTGAAATTCACTGGTAGGATCTGAGACAATCAAGAGCTGAGCAATACACTCAAAAAGAAAAGTTATCCAAGGTGTGGGACCCAGCCCCCGGACTGAGAGAGCTGGCTTTGTATGTAGGTCAGCTGCCATGGCAGAAGTTGGAAACAAGAAAGGACCTCGAACAGAGCAGGAGTGTCAGTACTAAAATAGTCATAAAGAAAAAATAAAATCTAATTTTAAGGTGTTTTTCCAGCTCCAAACAAGAGAAATGCTTTTTTTCTGTGGGGATGGATATGTTTCCTGTTATCAACGGTGAGCACAAATCTAACGCATGCATCTGCCACCTCCCCTTTAGGGCTTCGGTGAGCTATCACAAGAGATCAGTAACTTCACACTCCAGGATGCTGACATTAACTGAGGTGTCTGAGCTCACATCGCTTGGGTCCTAGAGGGTGCAGAAATGCACAGTCAAAACCAGCACAGGATCACCAACCTAACCGTGGCCCAGGAGACTTGAGGGAAGCTGAGAGCTGGTGTCACTTGTCCCCCCTGTGTCCTGGGCAGACCATCTGGACACATGCTGACTACTGGACAGACCACTTGGCCACGCACCTTGGTGCTGGTGTGCACGTGGCCATGAGGGAGAGTGTGAATGAGTGAAGTCAGGCTTGTTTGACAGCAAAATCACCTTCCCCTCCTATCAGGTCTGGCACTGAGATTTGCTGTGCCACCGCTGCAGTATTATCTCCTACATTTTCCATCCATGTGGCCACAAGGTCTACCCTGCAGCTGCCCCTGGATCCCAGTCTTCCCAGTTGTAGGTACCCAGACGTGTCACAGCCCCAGCGCAGTTGTGGCACAGACTCCCAGAAGCTGGCCTTGGACATCCCCAAAAAGTGCCAAAAGAGCTCAGGAGAGCTGCTCCCGTTGCCTCATCCTGATGACCCACAGAGGTGAGGGTCTCCTGAGACAGCCCCAGGGTGTCCCCTCCTCTGAGGCTGTAATTTGGGTTCCCACCTGCCTTTATGCCTCTGACAGGTCACGCAATGGGCCTGGGAGCAGTCAGGACAGGGTATTATTTGGGCTCCCCACCATGATTGCTCCTTCATGGGCGTGCAACACAGTGTTTCAGTCAAGGGACTGCAAGGAAAAAGGGAGGGCTTCACAAAAAATTTTTTTAAAATGCACTTACCTGCATGCTGTAGATTTTGTGACATGTTTTTCTTCTTAAATGGCCATTTTCTCACCAAGGTTGTGTTACTTCATGCTTTCCTAGTAAATGGCATCTTACAAGGCTTTTTCTTGGCTGCATCTTCAGCACAGAGCTCTGCTGCAGTGAAAAATCAGGCCAGGATAACACGTTAGTCACAGACCCAAGCAGGGAGGACGGTTTGTTGTATTTTTCCCTAACAACATTTATCCCCTATTTCAAGAGTCTGAAAGGGAGACTGATATTCATCAAAATTACCTTTTTCTTCTGCAGTATTTATTTTTCTTTCAGGCTGGCCATAGCAACATGCCTGCTCTGGGCCGGGAAAGAGCTGTGCATGGGGAGGGGCCCCCCCCCAGATACCCCCAAATACCCAGCATGCCTAGAGG